AGACCAAAAGTACATGTACTGCCACACTGTAGTACTTTTGCTGAGTGGCTGGATATAAATCTTGTTCTTCTAGAACACACTGACAGATGGGTGGGGAGCCCCATATGCAACGGGCATTGGCAAGTAATAAAAAAAAATAATAATAATGGTAACTTGGCCTATAAAGGGTTAAAGCAATAATTGAAGACTCTCCTCTTGAATTATATAAAAAGGATTAAAGGTTTTAATATACTCGGAAATGTTTAGAGTTCTCTTCTTAAGCTGATGATTTATTAACTTTTCAGGCCTAGCAAACAAATCTATACCTAGATTAATGACAACGTTGGAAGAATTTGGTTTACTATATGTCTATAAATTAAATATAAAAAATAGATTTGATAAGGACTCCATGACATTTCTGGGTGTAGTAGTACGTAGAGGCATAGGAAAGCTTTTTGAAAATAATTTTGCTTTAGTTTATATAAAAGTGAAGTTGGATATATGGAGTACTACAACTCTGCTCAACTAAGACAGCTAATTTGTTTATGTGATTCCAATTTACAGAAGAAGAAACTATTCCATCCTGATCCATTCCATCCATCCAAGTCACGATAGGAGATAATAAATTAAGGATGCTTCTGATTGATCCTGATAACCCTTGGATAAAATTAACATTCAAGATTTTGAAAAAGCTGTTCAAGTTGAACAAGTTAAACATGACTAGAAAGGTGTTAAGATGGTGTGCTTTCAAAACAACAATTTGAACTAACTGTAATAATGCAGGATTTAAAGGATGAGCATCAACAGGACTTACCTGATTTGACCAGTGATGACTTGTTTTGCTGCATGTTGTCATTAGACTGCTGGTTGTCTAGTTGGTTTTCTGAAAACAACATGGGCTACATTAATAATTGGCAATACTTTTGGGGAAAACTGGCCTGATTCGGAGAGACGACATCCATCCCACGTTGGATGGTGCAGCTCTTCTTTGTAGGAATCTGGCCAAGTTTATTACTCCTCCAAAACCCTGACAACCCAGGGTGCAGACCAGGAAGCAGAGTCGTAGTTTAACACACGTTTCTGCAGCTTCTCTACTGTTACCCACTCATTACTCCATCCAGACAGTGTCTTGCCCACAACCAAAATCTGATCAATTAGAAAAGATTTCCAAAGGAATAAATCATGATAATTTAATTAAAATAAGTCCAATTGGGAAAAAAGTAAAAATTATTAAATGTGGTCTGTTTAACATAAGATCTATTTCTGTACTATTGTATCGTCCACCAGGTCCTTACTCTGAATTTTTAGATGAGTTTTCAGAGTTCCTTTCTAATTTGGTATTAAATACAGAAAGTGTCATTATAGTGGGAGATTTAACATCCATGCTGACATCAAAGGTGATATCTTAAGAGCATCTTTAATGCTATCTGAGACGCTATTGGCTTTGTTCAAAATTTGAATATTCCCACACATTCTAATTTTGATACTTTGGATCTTGTGCTGACATATGGCATAGAATGTGAAGAAATAACAGCATTTCCTCACAACCCTGTCCTCTCTGACCACTTTATAATAATCTTCAGGATTACTTTAACAGATTTCTCCTCCCCCAAAGGAAGGTTTCACTTTAGCATATGATAATCAGATAGCGCAGTTATAAATTTTAAAGAATTTCTTTCACTTTCTCTCTCCTCTATTTCGCTAAGCAGTGCTGAAGAGTGCAAAAGCTTAGTCTATTCCCCTTCACAGGTTGATCATTAGTTCTCTGCGTACTGCCTTAGACAACGCAGCCCCTTTGAAAAAGAAAAAAATTAGAAATAAAAGCATGGCTCCCTGGTTTAATACAGAGCTGCACACTCTGAAGCAAAATGCGAGGAAACCAGAGAGAAATTCGTGTTCCACAGGCCTACGGGAATTACCTAGTCTGAAAATTTGTTAACTATGGTATAAGGGGACCCTTTGCTCAAGAGCAGCTTATTTCTCCTTATTAATATTTTTAATACACATGCCAAACTCACCCTGAGCCATAGTTGTTGAACCATCCCTCCCACCTGCTCTAAGCAGTAATGATTTTATGGGATTATTTATTAATAAGATTGATCTAATCAAAACTAAGATCATTAGCACTCCTCTAACTACAATTGGTTTATCTCTGGAGGGTGGGGCAGCATCTGAGGTAGCCATAGAATCTGAACTGGGTTTACACTCTTTTGACTCAGTTGAGCTCTCAGAGTTAGCAAGGCTATTGTCTTAATCTACTGTAAGCCTTCAACTTGTATGAAAGCTCCAGTTCCTACCAGGTTATTGAAGGAAGTATTCCCTTTGATCTCATCCTACATCCCATTACAGGGATATATACCAAAGGCTTTTAAGGTAGCTGTGATTAAACCTTTGGGAAGTGGCGGCCTAGTGGTTAGGGCATAGGGCTTTGAATCCTGAGATTGGTAGTTTGATCCCCCACTCCCCCAGACTGCTACTCTGGCTCCCTGAGCAAGACTCTTAACCCCACACTGCGCCGCACAATGGCAGCCCACTGCTCCCCAAGGGGATGGGTTAAATGCAGAGATACATTTCTCCAATGTGAGATCAATAATGTTCAATTCTTTTACTTAAGAAACTTTCTCTACAACCAGATGACTTGGTCAATTATAGACCTATATCCAATCTTCCTTTCTTATCTAAAATTCTTGAGAAAGTAGTTGCCAAACAAGTTTGCATTCACTTACACCATAATTAACTTTTTGAAGAGTTTCAGTCTGGCTTTAGAGCTCATTATAGCACTGAAAAAGCTCTGTTAAAAGTCATTAATGATGTTCTCATGGCCTCAGATAATGGACTTGTATCTGTTCTTGTCCTGTTAGATCTCTGTACTGCATTTGATATCGTTGATCATAATATTCTTTTAGAAAGACTTGAATATTTTGTAGGAATTAAAGGAATAGCACTAGACATCAAATCTATCTGATCGATTTAGGTTTGTTCACGTTAATGAAAAATCTTCCTCATGTTCAAGGATTACCTGTGGATTACCACAGGGATCAGTCCTAGGACCAATTCTCTTTACTATATATATATGCTCCAAATCAGTAGAATTATTAGACAGCATGGGGTTAATTTCCACTGTTATGCTGATGATACGCAGCTATATCTGTTTATAAATCCAGATGAAGCTAACCCATAACATAAATTACAGGCATGTCTTGCAGACATAAAAACTTGGATGACTTAACTTTCTGCTCCTGAATGCAGACAAAACAGAAGTTATAGTCTTTGGATCAGAGTCTTTGAAAAAAAGCTGATTTGTCCCACTTCATTTGGATGGGATTAAACTGATTTCAGATAATAAAGTAAAAAATCTTGGTGTTACTTTTGATCAGGACCTGTCATTCAAATTCCATATCACAGAGGTTTCTAGAATTTCCTATTTTCTTATGAGGAATATTGCAAAAATTAGACATATCCTCCCCAGGGGTGATGCTGCAGAACTAGTTCATGCGTTTGTTACTTGAAGACTGGACTTTTTCAATCTTTACCATCAAGAAGTCTACAAACTGTACTTAAGAGCCTTCAGCTGATTCTAAATGCTGCAGCCAGAGTTCTGAAGAAAATTATAAGAGAGATCATATCTCTCCTATCCTGGCGTCTCTTCACTGGCTTCCTGTTAAATATAGAATAGGATTCAAAATTGTCCTTCTCACATATAAAGCCTTAAATGGCCAAGCTCCATCTTATATCAGAGACAGTATTGTTCCTTATGTTCCTAACAGAGCACTTCGCTCTTAATCTGCAGGTTTGCTAGTGGCTCCTAGAATTTCTAAAAGTAGAATGGGAGGCAGATCTTTTAGTTATCAGGCTCGTCTCCTGCAGAACCAATTACCAGTTTTTGTCCATGAGGCAGATAACCCATCTACTTTAAAGGGTAGGCTTAACACTTTCCTTTTTTGGTAAAGCTTATAGTTAAAGTGGCTCAGGTCATCCTGAGCTATCTCTATAGTTATGCTGCTATAGGCTTAGACTTCTGGAGGACATAGGGACCCCTATTTCATCATTCTGCTTCATTCTATCTCTATTCTTCAGAATCTGTTATTTCAATCTCTAACGTTCTGCTCTCTCTGCTTTTTCTCATAGTAGCTTTGCCTCGTCTGTTCCTGTTTGGCTGTGACGCCATCCTGGAGAGAAATATCAGCTGTGTTCCTGCCATCAACACCTTTGTTTATAGATGTTTGATATCGGCCTGTTTTTCAGTGTATTCCTGTTTCTCTGACTGTGACTGGCTGAATGTGCTCTGACATGGGAGCTGGCTCTGAAATTGTCTGCCTGGCTGTGTGTTTCCTGGATGGGGCCGCTTTTTACAGTTGTCTTTTATATCTCTGCTTCTTTCTTCTTGACCCCCGAGATGGCCGTTCAAACTGAGCATGGTTCTACTAGAGGTTTCTTCCTCTTAAAAGGGAGGTTTTTCTCTCCACTGTCGCTACAAGTCAACATCTAGTGCAACCAAGACTTGGATAAGTCAATCATTGATCTGAATCATCCAATCAGAGCCAACACAGCCTGTTGACAATAAAGTCTGTCTAAGTCTGAAATCCAGTCTGTTAGCTTCTGAGGAGGTTGGTGACTTTCATTCAGTACACCTTTATTATCACTGAATCAGACAATGATTTCCATTCCTGCAACACCAATGTACGTTAAAATAAATTGAAAGTCTTCAAGATTCTATTCGGGCATTATAGTCACTCTGTTGCTATCTTGCAGGTCCCTCTTGGAGCAGAGCTGTTTAATCACAGTTAGGCTTTACCTGGTTACTAAAAGCCATTAATGCCTAAATATGTTAGCTATTTTTTAGTTTTAATAGGTGATCTTCATGGACAAAGGTAAAGGAATTTTCATCCACTGTGACCCAAACTAGTGTGACCTTGCACAGAACTAAGCAGAATTATTTTTTCTGACTAGATTATGAATTCAAGTATGATCTGCTGAGAAGGAAAACAGAGAAAAATAGATGAATGAAACCTCTCTCTTACCTTCAGCATGTCCAATCCAGAGTGTCCAAATCACTGCAATAAATAACAGAAAATCGATTATTAGAACAAACTGATGTTTTGTGAAATAGTGAAATGACTTTCAAAAACAAGAAGGTACAGAAGGGGCTTAAAGAAACAAGAAGGTACATACAATCAGATTCTGGGCAGAATATTTGCCAGAATCTCAAGCAGATTTAACAGTTCAGTGTTTTGAGTTGAGGTAAAAATCAGTAAGCAAGGAGATATTTAATTGAATCTAACTTGTGGGAAACTGGAACACAGAACACACTACCATACAAATTGGTATTAAATACTTTAAAGCTAGACTTTAAAGTTAAACTTTAGAGACAGACCAACAGACATATTTTGTTTTTACTCCATTATACTGCTGAAATATAAGTAAGGGGAAACATTAAAATCTTTAGTTTCTGTAATAATGGCCCTAATAAGGAATAAAGCAGCCTGGATGCTGCAACACCAAACTAGGCAAGGCAAGGCAAGGCAAATTTATTTATATAGCACAATTCAGTACAAAGACAATGCAAAGTGCTTTACATGATTAAAATATAGGAAAATAAAACAGAATCAAAGCAAGTAGGAAAAACAAAAAAGAAACATTAAAAACAGTTGGACTAAAGAAAATAAAAAAGTTGAACTAATGATGTTTCAGTTGAACTGTTTAAATAGAACAGTCCAAAACAAATGTGTTTTTAGTCTTGATTTAAAGGAACTCAGGCTTTCCACACACCACAAGTTTTCTGCAATTTGTTTCAGATACGTGGAGCATAGGAACTAAATGCTGCTTCTCCATGTTGAGTTCTGGTTCTAGGTATGCAGAGCAGGCTGGAGCCAGAAGACCTGAGTGGTCTGGAGGGTTGATAAACTGATAGCAAGTCTGTGATGTATTTAGGTGCTAAGCCATTCAGATATTTATAGACTAACAGAAGTATTTTAAAGTCTATTCTCTGAGATACAGGGATCCAGTGTAAGGACTTTAGAACTGGGGTGATGTGCTCCACTTTCTTAGTCTTAGTGAGGACACGGGCAGCAGCGTTCTGGATCAGCTGCAGCTGTCTAATCCACTTTTTAGGCAGACCTGTGAAAACACAGTTGCAGTAATCAATTCGACTAAAAATAAGCTCATGGATCAGTTTTTCCAGATCATGCTGAGACATTAGTCCTTTAATCCTGGAAATGTTCTTGAGGTGATAGAAAACCGACCTTGTAATTGTCTTTAAATGCTTTTGGAGGTTCAAGTCTGAATCCAGTACTACACCTAGATTTTGGGCCTGATCAGTGGTTACTAGCTGAAGCGACTGAAGCTGTGAGCTAACTTTAGATCTCTCCTCTATTGGTCCAAAGATTATTACTTCAGTTTTGTTTTTATTCAGTTGAAGAAAATTATGGCACATCCAGGCATTGATTTCTTCTAAGCATTTCCTCAGTGTTTGAACTGGTTCATAATTACCTGATCGACAGTATTGAATGCTGCACTGAGGTCCAATAGTACCAGCACCGTGGTTCTTCCACACTCTGTATTTATAAGGATGTCATTAAACAACTTGACAATGGCGGTCTTTGTACTGTGGTGAGCACTGAAACCTGACTGGAAAACGTCAAAGCGGCCGGTCATATCTAAGAAAGTGTTTCATTGTTGAAACACAGCTTTTTCAATAATCTTACTGATAAAGGGGAGGTTTGAGATGGGCCTGTCGTTCTGGAGTAGCAGTTTGTCTAAATTTTTCTTTTTCAGCAGTGGTTTGATATTTGCTGTTTTTAGGGACTGCGGGAAAACACCTGACAGAAGGGACGTGTTTATTATCTGAGTCAAATCAGACGCTATGACAGGCAAAACTTTCTTAAAGAAAGCTGTGGGTAGAACATCAAGGCAGCAGGAGGAGGAACTTAGCTGCTGAATGATCAACATATTCTCATTATCATTTCGTATGAAATCGTACGAAAGGTTATGCACACTATTTCTTTCTTTTTATTTTTTTAACAGTGTCCTGTCTGGCATTGTGGCAATAAGAATAATTGTCTTGATGCCAAAAAGAGCCCAACAGATTTTACTTTCACAAGTGTAGCAGTATGGCAATTGCCATATTGGTCCACTTGTTTTATGCATATAAATTGCTTTATTATAACTATGCAGGGAGTTTTACAGTTTATATGGATGGGGGAAAAAAAGAGAAAAGATGAAAGAAAGAAGAGATATGTTGGGAGCTGGAGTAGTACCACCTTCCTCCAGCAGAGTCCGCCGTGGATCCTCCCCAGCCTAGCCTCCTGCACAGCTGAGACTCATTCCTTCATCAGAGGGTCCACACTATATAAGCTGTCTTCAGACCTTGCCTCAATGTCGCAGTGTTGAATTCAGTTGGTTAGCACTTAAGCCAAGACCCTTCTGAGCACTTTGTTGACTTTGAATCCAGACTGGATTCTAACCCTTTGTCTCTACTTTCAGGAAACCTGTTTTTCTCCTGTGAAGCTCTGGAAGAGCTTAACCTGCCGAGTCTGCCCTCTGAGCCAAACCAGAAGACTCCTCTCTGGATTTCCATGCAGCTCTGGACCAAGAGCTGGAAACTCAAAACCAAGGTCTGCCCTCTCTCTTGAAGTAAGACGCTGAAGCAGCAAACGGACTCTGCTGAACAAACATTCTCTGGACCCAACAGTTCTCCTCCCAAAGCTTTAACCAAGAACCCTCAAGGTACAAACCTGAAACACTCAAAGTCAAACTCTTCTGATGCAACGCTAACTGAACTGTCTCCCACGCAGACTCCAGTGAACCTGCCCCCCAGGCCTGAACCAGTACCAGTGTAATTTCCATGTTCTTGTGAAACGATAAACATTGTTTAACCTTTTACTTCAGTTTCCGTTTCGTGGGTTCTGCATACTTGGGTCCCTCTTGTGAACCCATCATGACAGAACACTGCGACCAACCGACTAACCCAGCGGAACCACTCTGGAGGATTCTGAATGATCAACGGGCCCAGATTCAGAGCCTTGGAACCTCCCTCCGTGAGAGCCACGAAGAACTGGCTAGGAGATTTGAGAGCGCCATTCGTGATGTTCACGACCGGCTTGTGGACAAATTCGTTCATGAGCTTAACACTCGGTTTGATGTGTTTTTGCAGGAGTTTTCCAGACAAACAACTCTTAGAGCGGAGCCCGTTCAACTTCCGTTTTCGGAACCAGAGCCTATCACGTCACTTCCGGAATTCCGTCCGTCTCTCCCAGAGAAATTTTCAGGTATCCCTAGCAAATGTAAGGGATTTTTGTTTCAATGCCGACTTATTTTTCAGAACTCTCCTGGCAGTTTCCCAACTGAACAAAAGAAAATAACGTTTATTCTGTCCCAACTAACTGGACGTGCCCTAGAGTGGGCGGAGGCAAGGTTTGCCTCTGAAGACAGCCTCAGATGTGATTTTTCCGATTTTGTTTCCGAGTTTTCCCAAGTGTTTAACCATGATTCTGACCAAACAATTGACTCTCGTGCTCTGTTGAATCTTAGACAGGGAAATTCCTCTGTAGCAGATTTTTCCATTGACTTCCGGGTTAAAGCTGCAGCCTCAGGCTGGAATGAGTGTGCACTCAAGAGTGCTTTTTTCAAGGCTTTAAACGAAAACATTAAAGATGAACTCGCCACACTCGAGGTACCTGAGACTCTGGAAGAACTCATCAGGTTGACAATTAGTTTGGACAACCGTCTTCGAACCAGATCCAAGTCAAAGATTAAGAGTCATGTTTTTCCAGTTTCTGTTTCTACGGCTAAGAGAAGGGACACCTCTTCCTTTGTTTGTCCCGAAGAGGAGTTCAGAACTGAGAGCCGTGCCTAGTCTGAATCTGATCCCGTGTCCAAAACTCATTTTGTTCCACCAGCTTTTGAATCAACTGAGGGGGAGCCAATGCAGATTGGTCACACTAGGCTCACACCCGATGAGAGGAAGAGAAGGTTTAAGGAGAAACTTTGCTTTTATTGTGGAATACCTGGGCACTTTGTTTCATCCTGTCCAGCAAAGAATAGGATTTGGAGCTCGTCTGCGGTTATGGGGAGTCTGGTGAAGCATCAACTAAATAGAAAGTCATCTCGTCTACTTTTACCTGCTACTCTGTTCTGTTCTGATCAGACTCTCACTCTGTCAGCCTTCATAGACTCTGGTTGTGAGAGAAACCTTATTGACTCAAATCTAGTTCAACAGCTAAACATTGAGACCACCCCTCTGAGGAAGCCACTTAAAGTCTCAGCCATTGATGGAAGGAGTCTACACCAAGTTACCCACGAGACTCAGCCTCTTCAGCTTCAAGTTTCAGGTAGTCATCGAGAGACCTTAACCTTTCTTGTTTTCCCATCAGCCTGTTCTCCCTTGGTTCTGGGATATGAGTGGTTGGAGCGACACAACCCTCATATTAATTGGACTCATAGACACGTTGAATCGTGGTCTCCCTCCTGCCATGCCTCCAGTCAGTCAACCAGTCCCCGCTCCGTCGAACCTACTGGAGTCCCTCTACGGCCGATCCGAGCATCCAGGGACCCACGGTGGGCGCCCCAGGACACCTCGGAGGCTGCACCGGAGTCGTCGTGGGCGGCTCTCTCCATGCTGCGGCCAGAGCTGCAGTCGGCGGTCCTCTCTGAATCAGCTCCGGTGCCGCAGTGGGCGGTCCCGCCCTGCACCTATTTCTGAGCTGCTACCGGTGGTCTCCCGGTAAAATATCAGAGACTTTCTTTGTTGACGTCCACCTTTAGTGGATTGTTTTTTGTTCTGGGACTCTGCTTCTTGCCTACCTAGTATGGTGCCCCCTGCGCCCACCCTTGGTGGGTTGTTTTTTGTTCCCTTGTTTCCCTAGGTCTTATCTGAAGCGTCTGGTATCCGCCCTTGAGGGGGGGGTACTGTTGGGAGCTGGAGTAGTACCACCTTCCTCTAGCAGAGTCTGCCGTGGATCCTCCTCAGCCTAGCCTCCTGCACAGCTGAGACTCATTCCTTCATCAGAGGGTCCACACTATATAAGCTGTCTTCAGACCTTGCCTCAATGTCGCA